CTCAATTCACGTCGCCAAAAGCCGATCGCCCAACAATACCGCCGAGATGAAGTTGAACATCTCCTACCCTGCCAATGGCAGCCAGAAGCTGATCGAGATTGAGGATGAGCGCAAGCTCCGTGACTTCATGGAGAAGCGAGTACGTCTCCCGCCCCGGCCCTTTCTCCGCAGTACCAGCGAAATTTCACAAGTCGAAAGCCACGGTCGTCCGGAACATACACCGACAGTTTTATTCCTCTGCCCGGCCTTTTGACCAATGATTCTACGCTCGACCGCACCCCCGACGGCATGATGAATGTGGAGGATATATCGATTTGGTTGCTGACATCGTCGTTCTCCTCAGATGGGCCAGGAAGTTCCCGGCGACAACCTCGGCGATGAGTTCAAGGGTTACATCTTCCGCATCACCGGCGGTAACGACAAGCAAGGTTTCCCCATGAAGCAGGGTGTCCTCCACCCCACCCGTGTCCGACTTCTCCTCTCCGAAGGCCACTCCTGCTACCGACCCCGCCGCACTGGCGAGCGCAAGAGAAAGTCAGTCCGTGGCTGCATCGTCGGCATGGACTTGGCTGTCCTTGCCCTTTCCGTCGTCAAGCAAGGCGAGAACGAGATCCCCGGCCTCACCGACGTCGTCCTCCCCAAGCGTCTCGGACCCAAGCGTGCCACCAAGATCCGCCGCTTCTTCGGCCTCAGCAAGGATGACGATGTAAGTAGAACTACAACACTCGTCATCACCTACTCGGTCGTTGCTCCTGCGGGATGAGAGAGAAGAATCCCTTGCAGTGTAACCACCGTTGTAGAGTCTGAGAGGAGGAAATACTTCCGAGAATACCATATGAGGAACATGGGAAGACTAATGTGTCGTGTTTTTCCGTTCCCCGAATAGGTCCGAAAGTACGTCATCCGACGCGAGATCCAGCCCAAGGGCGACAAGAAGGCCTACACCAAGGCTCCTCGTATCCAGAGACTAGTGACTCCCCAGCGTCTTCAGCACAAGCGTCACCGCATTGCGCTCAAGCGCCGCCAGTCCGAGAAGGTCAAAGATGAGGCCGTACGTTTTTCCAGCCCCGACCCCAATTGACTCCAGCTCTCTCCGACTAACCTCAAATTATAGAACGAGTACGCTCAGCTTTTGGCCAAGCGTGTCGCTGAGGCCCGCCACGAAAAGCTTGACGCCCGCAAGAGACGGGCTTCTTCCATGCGCAAGTAGATGCTTCCAGGCGTTCGGTTGGTGTCTTCTGGTTGTTGCATTTCGGCATGAAAATCACGGCTATGGCAGGTATTTGCGGGATGGTCATGAGTGGCTTTAGATAGGCCAGTGGCTTCAGTATATCCCCCGAGGCCAAAACAAGAATGAGAACAAGATTAAGATTCCCCACAAGAACGATGCTACAGTGAGCTCGCTCTGAATGTGCACGTATTAATTTGTATTCTATTTTCGCTACGGACTTCTCTTAAGCTTGTGCCGCTCTTATGCTGAAAGTGTCTAATGCCGATCCTTTTTCTCTATCTCCCCTTACGCCGCCAGTTATGCAGATGAGTGACCGCTGTATGCAACCAGACAGAAAACCAACATGACCCCTCCCATCTCTTGGCAAGTAAATACATGGAAACGTTGTACAGAGATGACTGTTCTCATCAACTCCTCAAAGATTCCTGCCATTTTAGAGATGGTGCTTTATATGCAAATACTCCTGCAGCACTTCAGTGCACAGGCGATTTCCCCCTTTACCGGTACCATTTAACGCCTTTTTATGAAGAAAAGAAAGATGCTCCTGCTCCATGCCGAAAAGCGATCTGATCTAGTACCGCAGCAGATTTCTACCCACCTCGATTCGACAGCGAGGGATTGATTTGCCTCCCGAATCTCCAAGCAAAAATGCAACTTGCCCAACCTTTTCCATGCATAATGCTACCGAATCCTTAAGCAGGAGCATGGTTGAACAAGAAACTGTACCCCTTGTTGTCAGTTTACACGGTACGGGTTAGTCAGGGGTGAAAAGAAGAAATGCTGCTCACCTGACACTCTCTCCATTGTGCGTGCGCCGAATTGCCTCCGCCAGCGTCGGGCTTATGTCGATGACACGCAGCTTGCTGCACCGATCCACCTTGTCGCCGAGGGGTACTGTGTTGGTGACGATGATCTGGCTCAGGCAGCTCTCGTTGAGGATGTTGATGGCGTTGCCGCTGAGAATGCCGTGCGTGACGATGGCGATGACCTCGCGGGCGCCGTTGTCCTTGACCGTCTGGGCTGCCTTGGCCAGAGTGCCACAGGTGTCGGCCATGTCGTCGACGAGGATGGCGACCTTGTCCACGACGTCACCGACGAGAACCATGCGTCCGACGACATTGGGCCGGGGGCGCTCCTTGTGGATCAGCGCGAAGCCTGTGTCCAGGCGGTCTGCGATCGCCGTAGCTCTAGACGTACCGTGTCAGCGCTTTCCCTCAATTGGTCGTCCCTCGAAACGCCCGACCGGGTCACGGCATCATGGGAACCCTCTTCTTACCGTTTGGCACCGCCGGCATCCGGGCTTACTATGACCGTGTCTTCTGTGCCACGGTTCTCCCTGATCCAACGCAGGACGCTAGGTTCGGCATATAGGTTGTCGACAGGCACGTTGAAGAAACCCTGAATCTGGGAGGCGTGCAGATCCATAGTAATAACATGATTGCATCCGGCTGTGACGAGCATGTTTGCGATCAATTTGGCCGAGATAGGCGCACGGCTCTTGTCTTTCTTGTCCTGTCGCGCATATGGGAAATTTGGGATGACGGCGGTAATTCGTCGAGCCGAGGCTGTCCGGCAAGCATGGATCATGATCAGAAGCTCCATCAACCCATCGTTGATGTCGCCGGGCGCTGTAGACTGAATAATGAATACTACAAAGGCAGAAAGCACCCTGTCAGTCTTGTCCTTCAATATCTTGTCTCGAAAGTTGCAAATTGGGGGCTTGTGTACCATCCTCGTCTCGGACCGATTCGCCGATCGTAACACTGGTCTCTTGGTTCGAATAGTTGAGACTCATAGTCTTTGCAACCTCGATGCCAAGCCTATGGTAAGACCACAGTCAGTCTTTGTGTTCATTTTTGTGCTCATTTATGGTAGCGTTGTAGTAGAGTTGCTTTTCGGGAATGAGGAGCTTCGTGTAAAGCCATGGGTAGCCGCAAGTGGTATGGTGCCACAAGAATCGAGGTGAGGACGGGATGTAATGCTCAATTTTTCAGCTTGAGCCTGCACTTTCAGCTCGGTCGGTGCAAAAGGACGAGAGGGTTTCCGGTCGGGAGGTGGGTTGGTTGAATGGTGCAAGCCGTCGGCTCAAGCAACTCCAGTCAATCATGGTCCATAAATTCAGCTTACTTACCGGTCTGCGACCAACCTGGCCAGCACCGGGTGGCTGTTGCCCGAGAGTAATTTGATCTCATTCGCCATGTCACCCATTCTGAACAAGAGGTGGGAGAGTGATTTAACCGTCGGCGGTAGGTGCTGCTTTATACAACAGGCCAAGAGCCAGTGCGTCGAAGGCAAAAAGGCAAGGCAAAGACGCAGCTGCTTGGTTGCTGTTGGTCAGAAAAGCGCGAAGAAAAAACTTTTGAGTCTCACAGCACAGACTTGGGAAGCAACCTTCCAATCGGCTCCAGTTGGCGGTTGCTGATGAATCGCGGGGTGTACAGGTGTACACTGGTACATATACACCACCGAGTCTAGACTACCTAAGTGAGCAACACATAAAGCTTATTTATTGTCCTGGCTAAACACTACAAGAGCCAGTTTGCTAGTAATATACTAGGCACTGTAGCGAGACGCATAACCTGCATTGGAATATATTGTCCTAACATTCACCTTTTCAACTGTTGACTTCTGGACGGACATTAGACTAACAGGCCTGCGTAAACTACTGCTCTCTGCTATGTAGGGATATTGTCCAGTTCGAACCCCTGACAGTCGGGAGGCCCCCTGCATGCATATCATTTGATGAAAAAGCTCTTCACAATATCGGAAAATGTGCTGCTGTGTGGACTTTCCTTCAGTATTACCTATGTAGGTACCTGTCTCCGATCATATGAAAACTTGTCAGAATCTCAAAGGACGATGCTTTGCGTTGTTCGAGCGGCGGAAGGTATATATACTTGACCTGTAACCTAGGTGCTGTTCAGGTGGGGGACCCTGGGTGAGGGGAGGTGTGATGTTTGGTGCATGTAATACCATGCCTATCTATGCTGTACTGAACAATCACAGGTCTTGCGCACAGTTAATAACGTCGTCATGGAAGGGTGTTCTAAATCAGATTGACAAATCGCAAAGAAATAGCAAATGTTGTACAAGGACGGTCTGGCCTGATTATCCGTTACAACACGATCACATATGCATCTTTTGTATGTCGTTCAACACTTGCTTTTAACCTTTGTGGTCGATTACTTGTCACATGGCTGATATTCAATCCTGATGCCTCAGGTAACAATGACCCCCCAGCAGAAAGCATCCAACCGACTAATCATTGCAGACAGCGCTGTATGACCATACCTAAGAACAGGGAGGGAGAGACTACTCAAATACTTGCACATTTACACTACCTGTTGTCCCGCCTTCAATATGAGCAGCGGCCTTGTTGCTTTTGTAGCCCTGCGTTTCTGCGTCTGCAGGTCGGCATTGTATCAGACGAACAGCGGGGTGGCTCTTCGGGTGTTACAAGTACCAAGAATAACGCATGGCGGGGTAGATATGCTGGTTACACACCATGGGTAGTATATTCTTCTCTACATGCACGGAAACCCCGAACTGGGATACCGATTGAAGAGAAAATAGGGGAAGACAACAACAAACAAGCAACATGCTGCCAGGCATCACATATGCATACAATGAACAAATAGAAAAAAGGGTTTGGCCGGGGATTGAACCCGGGACCTCTCGCAAGCACTGCTTTAGGGTGAGCCCTAAGCGAGAATCATACCACTAGACCACCAAACCTGAAGAGTTGAGGATGAGCAAGGAAGCAAGGCAGGGGCTTGGCCGGGGATTGAACCCGGGACCTCTCGCAAACGATGCCGTAGCAAAGGATGCTTCAGGGTGTTACCCTAAGCGAGAATCATACCACTAGACCACCAAGCCGGACTTGGTTCCGCTCATCTTCGAAGGACGGTCTCACTATCGTGATCTCTATTGCTGGCGCTAGGTTTACTAGACAGCAGCAGTACAGCTGAGGACTAGATTAGTAGGTATCGTGATGTGCGTGAGTGGGGTCCAGAATACCTTAAGGCTGCACGCCAGGTACTCACAAATGTAGGAACTGTCTTATTGGCAAGGTGAGATATAAGAAATCAAGCTGATGTCTAAGGCCGATGAGGTTGCACTTGAAAGGGTGTAGACATGCATGTGTCTACATCAGTACTGCATCGAGATTGTAAGATTCCATAGGAAGTGTTAACCTACCTAGATACATGTTAGCTTGATTTACTGTGTGGCTCAGTACGCCGTACTACTGTACCTAAGGGTAGTACTATTTGTGTTGCAAGCTCATCTACTACATTGAAGACGAACTCCTATTACCAATATGTACTGATCATTTCTGGACATATTCGAGCATCCCACAATATTGACCATCGCTCTTTTACATGGTATTCCAGTTCTCAATAATCACTGAGTATCCTACTTACTTTGAATACATGCTGTGGCTCTTCAAAGGCAAAGCAACCTCTTCTCTCCCACATGATGACCTCGAATATCGATGTTCTTGTTCAGATTAAGTGATAGTACTATCCCGGAGTGTCGGGACTCCTATGCCCTTGGCCGCGGTCCTACAAAGTTCCCAAATACCCACTGCACCTGTTGCTCCGACCCCCGACTTCAACCCAAATAAAGACCGCCCCACTATCGGAGGAGGATTACCTAATCCCTCAACCATCATCGACATTATCTAGATAATCTTCCATGCTTCCATACTTCACAGTTCAACAGTATACCCAACCATACCTTGCTTTGATCCTTCCACTTTTCCATCCTCGCAATCCTTTAATCTGGTGAAACTTAATTCTCCAGTAAGCACAGAGACGAAGCTTTAAATCGACGTGGTCATCTGCGGACTTGTACGCATCCCGCTCGTGACAGGTTTATCGAACCGGCATCTCGCACCCTGCTGGGGTCCGTTGTGCCACTACGAAAAGGAAACCTATCATCACACCTCCTTCCATCAAGGCGCCCTCGGCACGTAACCTGCTTCCGTGCCCTCTTCTACCACTCAAAAGATTCGGACCCAACCATCAAACGATGGCGAGCGCACCGAACGATAACGAGCACGGCGCACCGGGCGCGTCCGTACCGCATGGCGCCGCCGGTCTGGAGCCGACCTCGGCCGAAGCGAAGCTGGCGAACAAGAAGGACACGTCCCTGAAAGAGTTCCTGTCTAAAATGGATGACTACGCGCCTATCGTAAGCCCATCTTTGCTTCCCCTTCCCCCTCAGTTTTTCAGACCCTCATGTGGGCAGAGCTCTCTCAATTTCAGAGGGATTGATCCTGATCTAGCAATGCTAACACTCCACAAAACAAAAAAAACACAGATCCCAGATGCCGTGACGAACTACTACATGACCAAAGCCGGTCTCCCTCCCCCGCCGCAGACGGACCCGCGCCTGGCCCGCCTGATCGCGCTCGCGGTGCAGAAGTTCGTGGCCGACGTGGCCGCCGACGCGTACCAGTACAGCCGGATCCGGGCGTCCAACACGAGCAGCGCCAACAACCCGATGGGCAACCTCGGCGCGGCGGCCGCCGCCGGCCTGGGGCTTCCCGGCCAGGCGGGCTCGGGCGGCGGCGGCGGAGGAGGAGGAGGAGGAGGCAAGGACCAGGGCCGGGGCGGCGCAGGAGGTGCCCCGCTGGGCATCCAGAGGGCCGGCTACGGCGGCGGCGGCCAAGGCGGCAGCCAGAACCGCACCGTCCTCACCATGGAGGACCTCGGCATGGCCGTCGGCGAGTACGGCGTCAATGTCAAGAGGAGCGAGTTCTACCGATAAAAAGAGAGAGGGTTTTGGGCAGAGCAAGGGACAATAGTTGAGACACACAGTCTCGACGGGAAAGAGGAGTTCTCCAGGCCTTGGAGTTGCGTTTTGCGCCTGAAAAGAAAAGCCGCAAGACGGCCCACTTCGTGGAAGGGCTTTAGGGGCGGATTTTGCATGACAGGCGGCCGGTCCATCAAACAAGGCGTTTATGGCGTTTAAGGCAGGGGGGGGGGGGGGGGGGGCGGGGTTGTTTAACATGCAAAACATTCATTGGTTTTAACGTTTTTATTTTACACATAAAGGACCAGACCAATGTCCTTTTGCGCCCAAATAAACAGGCCTGTATAAAC